TGTACATAATGTGTTTCGATATTAAAATATTTTATTTTAAAAAATAATTATTTTTAAATTAATTTTTCTTAACAACTCACAATTAAAAATTAAGGATGCATTTTATAACCAAGTTTGAAGCTATTGGATTGTGAGGTTTAAATACAAATTATTTAAATTATTAATATAATATAATATTATAAGTAAAATTTTAAGTAAAAAAATTAAGTATATAATTATATATTATATTATATTATAAATTTATAATGTAATCATATTATTATAATTAATTGTTTTATTTAAAAATACCAAAAATTAAAGAATGTTTAGAAAATGTTATATATTAATCCACAGATATAACCAATAATGCAGATCATGACCGTTGACGAAACTCTCATCAAATTCCAACCGTGGATGAGAGGCGGCTTCAATCTCAGCCGTCTATTACTTACGTACTCTCCTCTGATGCGTTTTCCTTCCCCCTTCCTCCCACCTGCTGCAGGCTCCTCCCTCGCTGCAAAACAAGGGAAACTCACTGGAAAAACACACCGAACGGATTCCGTTTCCTATTTTGCTATATATAGAGAGCAAGAAGCCTCTTATCTGCACACAGAGAAGGTCAGAACGCCTTAGAACTTAGTAGTCACAAAGGAACAGTTTAAATATGGCTGATGCTAGTCAAGGGAACGGCGGTGGTCGGTACAAAGACTTTCCGGCGATTGCAACGCATGGCGGTCAGTTCACTCAGTACAATATCTTCGGAAATCAATTTGAGATAACCGCCAAATACCGCCCTCCGATCACGCCGATCGGTCGCGGCGCTTATGGTATCGTATGGTATGTTTAAATTAACGCTTTAAGCAATTACTTTCTTGTTGATGTCTCTTTTAATCTCCGGCGTTTTTTAATTTTTTAATTTAAAAAAAAATTTTTTTTGTCAAGTTCCGTGATGAATTCGGAGACTAACGAGATGGTGGCGATGAAGAAAATTTCTAACGCGTTTGATAATCGCATGGATGCGAAGCGGACGCTCCGTGAGATTAAGCTGCTGCGACACCTCGATCACGAAAACGTGAGTGTTTCTTTCTACTTTATTCGTTTTCCTTGTATAAAATTTCATGGAATGATTCCAAATTCATGAGATTTGTACATGGCAAACAGGTCGTAGGTATCAGGGATGTGGTCCCACCGCCGGTGAGGAGAGAATTCACTGATGTCTACGTCGCCACTGAACTCATGGACACTGATTTGCACCAAATAATTCGCTCTAATCAAAGTTTATCAGAGGAGCACTGTCAGGTATTGCTCTCTCCTTTGAGATTCTTGAAATCAAGAAGGTGGCAGAAATTGGCTTTAATTGTTTCTTTAATTTTGTGTTTTGCAGTATTTCTTATACCAGATTCTTCGAGGATTGAAGTATGTACATTCGGCGAATGTTATTCATAGAGATATAAAGCCTAGCAACCTACTGCTGAATGCAAATTGTGATCTAAAGATTTGTGATTTTGGTCTTGCTCGGCCAACTGCAGAGAATGAGTTCATGACTGAATATGTTGTCACAAGATGGTATAGGGCACCCGAACTATTGCTCAACTCTTCGGATTACACTGCTGCTATTGATGTGTGGTCTGTTGGTTGCGTTTTTATGGAGCTCATTAACAGAAAGCCGTTGTTTCCTGGGAGAGATCATGTGCATCAGATGCGCTTGTTAACACAGGTAACATGAGATTTTGTTTAGATGATAAGTAGAGCTAGCTGATTGCACAAGTTTGAAGAAGCTAATTAGGATTTGAGGTCTAGAAGAATCAATTGGAAGAAAGAAGGTTTGAAATGAATATCTTACCAAAGCTGAATATTATAAGTTTATACCTAATTATCTAATTTGGTTCTCTGTTGCATGATGGAAGAAGGTCGCTTTAGACTGCAGCTAGTAAACAGTAGAGTAGATTTTTGGGTTCTCAATCTGGTTATCCTATATTCGATATATCAAACTGGTAATGTGTTAGGATTAACATATGGTTTTTTTACCAGATAAATTTGATGCTGTGATGGACAATCAGGAGCCTAATTTGTCTTTTACTCGATATATGCACCGCACTATCTTTTCTGTTCAACAATTTGGTTTTTTACTTGATATTTTTATAGCACAAAGTATGACTTGATAATATAATGGAGGATAAAAGTTCTGGATAATGCTAATTGACATTTTTTGTGTGCAATGTAGCTTCTTGGCACACCAACTGAAGCTGATCTTGAATTTGTTCGAAATGAGGATGCAAGGAGATATATCAGACAACTCCCAGCTCATCCCCGACAACCACTAGCAACAGTTTTCCCAAATGTTTCTCCATTGGCTATTGATCTTATTGATAGAATGTTGACATTTGATCCCACCAGAAGAATTACAGGCTAGTTTATTAACCATTATAATGCTTCTGCATACACTATTCTTTTTAAGATACAGCTGTTTTCTTCTCTCTCTCTTCTTTTATTTATTTATTATTATTTTTTTTTTATGATTGATTTTTTTTCTTTCTTTCTTTTTTCCAGTTGAAGAAGCCCTAGCACATCCATATTTAGAAAGATTACATGACATAGCTGATGAACCAGTCTGTCGAGAGCCATTTTCCTTTGATTTTGAGCAGCAACCCTTGGGAGAAGAGCAGATAAAAGACATGATCTACAAGGAGGCCTTAGCTCTGAATCCAAAGTTTTCTTAATAAAAATGTATTAACTCGTCGTTGGTTTGTTACATACTTCTTTCTTGGAAGCACCCAGCTTAGTTATTGTTTGATTGCCAGTTTTTGGTAGTTGAGAAAATGCAAGCAGAGTAGAGAAACATGTTGAATACGCATCTTACAATATCTTTGAGATGGCTTTCCTTAGTGGAGCACTTATTACTGCCATCCATCTTGTTTTCAAGAGGTCAGTCCCCTTGCAAGCTCCACAAGCCATTAAAACCTCAGATTTAGTGCTTCTCCCCTTCTGTTATGTATTTATATTTTCTGTCTGAATTTTAACTATATTCTGTATGTATTACATGCTTTTGTTGTAATCCTTGATTTGATTTATTGTAAGTTAGATACAAATATCTTGTTGTAACATATATCAATGAAAGAATCAATCATATTACTCCTATATATATATATTTTTTCAATATTCATTGTTCAACTTGAATTTTGTAAGTAAAAGAATGAAGGTTTCTTTGATTGATCAAGTATATGCAGTCTTTGATTTTCATTCTTGTTTACTGGATGATCATTGACCGATGAGCATATAGTACTGCCAAGAATTCCTGGTGTCCCCGAAAGCATAGTATAGTTGTTGGGATAACCTATTATGTCAGCACTGCTTTGGTGGGTCTGATCCGGAACGGTGCAGCTTGGCTGCTGGATAATGTAATTGAGGGGAGGCTGGATTATGTATACTGGACCCTTGGGGCGATGGGGTTGCTGAAACTTGGCTATTATTTAGTCCACTCTAGGTTGCACAGCTATAGAACATTAGAAATGCTGAGGTGTTACATCTAGGATAGACAATCTTCTTAATGACATTTTAACTTCCATAACATATAATTGTAATTTATTAGGTCACACAAAAGACAAGTTGTACTGTTGTAGAAAGGATGTTGTGTTCTTCTCATTTCACTTCAATTGAAGAGTATGAATCGGATTATTGTCTATATTTTCAAGTCGACAAAATAAGACATTGCATTCAAATTTTACTACCTAAGAAAAGTTGGTCCCAGATACCGGCTGATCCACAATTTGATGGTTGCACGTGCACCTCCCTGCGAAGGGCAGAGCCTTGAGATGAAGTCTCGAATAAAATGGCTGCTGTTATCATATTCATTTCCTATTGGGCAAAAAAAATCTATTGTTCCCTCCTTTTGAGGTTAAATGGAATGATTCTTGCAGTTAATAATGGAATCTTGTATCATTGGCTGTGAACATTAATAGCAAATGCTGATTTGAATACATTATGTTCCCAATCACTGACAATAGCAACAAGCACAATTGGGCAAAAACAAGTACCTCTGTATTAAACAATGAGTACTGCAAACAGGAACATGTCAACCAGAACTGAAAATGCCAGCCATGGAGTTCCAAACATCTGCAGAAGAAGCGGGGAGATTAAATTCCAATGGCAAACGTGGCGGGTGGATCACCTTCCCCTTTATTGCAGGTGTCTCTCTCTATCTATCTCTCAGACTAGTGCGTGCATGAGAAGCGTAAACAATAATGTTGTATTAACATGTGTACTTTTTGTTGTAATAACTAGCAACCCAAATGGGATTGATGCTGGCTGTTGGTGGATGGATGACAAACCTGATTGTGTATCTGATTGTGTATCTGATTGAGGAGTTCAACGTAAAAAGCATTGATGCTACTCAGATCAATAATATTCTTAATGGTTGCATCAATCTGCTTCCCATCATTGGCGCAATTCTTGCTGACTCTTTCTTAGGCTCCTTCTCTGTTGTTGCAATTTCTTCCTTTCTCTCTTTGCTGGTAAACAGTCTAACCATGAGCAGTTGACCCTCGCAAATTGATTAATTGCTTACTGTTTTGAATTTCTCATCATTTTCCTGTGAAGGGAGTAGTTCTCCTGACTTTAACAGCATTAATTAACTCATTGAGACCTCCTCCATGTGAGACTGGATCAAGCTTCTGCCAAGCTCCATCTAGAGTTCAATTCACAGTGCTATATGCAGCTATAGCTTTAGCTTCTATAGGAAATGGGGCAATGAGATTTACTCTAGCAACAATGGGAGCAAATCAATTTGATAAGCCTCAATATCATGGTGTGTTTTTCCATTGGCTCTTCTTCATCCTTTTTGCATCTGGTGTGATAAGCTCCATAGGCATTGTTTATGTTGAGGACAGTGTCAGCTGGGGACTGGGGTTTGGCCTATGTGCTGCTGCTAATTTTGTTGGTTCAGCCATTTTCTTGTCGGGAAACAGATTTTATAAACATGACAAGCTCCAGGGGAGCCCGTTTACTGGTTTAGCTTGTGTTATTGTTGCTGCTATAAGAAAGAGGAATATCACACTACCATCCAAAAGTGGGGATTATTACCATGGAAAAGATGAAATGAAAAAAACCACGGCCGTAACGCCTCCTCAGAACTCAAGGTGTGACCTTATTCTGAATTGGCATTACTAGTTCTGTCCTTCATAAAGTCAAAACTTAAGAGGTTAATATTCATTTTCTTTTGTTCTCTGCAGGTTCTTGAACCGAGCATCACTGGTAACTGAAGGAGATATTCAATCGGATGGCTCAATTGCAAAGCCATGAAAGTTATGTACCATTCAAGAGGTGGAAAACCTGAAAGCTCTAGTTAGAATTTTCCCACTCTGGTCTAGCACAATATTCTTATCCACCCCGATAGCCATTCTGCTCAGTATGACAGTTCTCGAAGCTCTATCCATGGATTGTCACCTTGGTTCTTATTTCAAAATCCCAGCAGGGTCAGTGCTGGTTGTGGCATCAATCTCCGACTGCATCTTTCTTGCCATCTTTGACCAGTTCCTACTCCCTACCTGGAAGAAGCTGACTCGTCGGCCTCTGACAGCTCTCCAACGAATTGGCATAGGCCATGTTTTGAATGTGCTAAGCATGGTCATTTCAGCCTTGGTGGAGTCAAGAAGGCTGAAAATAGCCCGTGCTAAGCTTCAAGCCCAGCCTGGTGCCATAGTCCCTATGCTAGTGCTTTGGCCGTTTCCACAATTAGTTATTAATGGCATTGCAGACGCCTTCCATTTCCCAGGACAGGTTACATTGTACTATCAAGAATTTCCAGTATCTCTACGAAGCACAGGAACTGCCATGATATATGTGGTAATGCTATAGCCGACTATGTGAGCACTGCTTTGGTGGACCTGATCAGGAAAATTACAGGTTGGTCACCAGATAACATAAACGATGGGAGGCTGGATAATGTATATTGGACCTTAGTCATGTTGGGGTCACTGAACTTTTGCTATTATTTGATCTGCTCAAGTTTGTACAGATATAGAAATGTTGAAGATGAAGTGAGTCATTCTGTAAGTGATTCCAATGGAGAAACAGCACACTGAGCTTGAACCTTCAGAAAAGAAAAGAAAAAAAAGAAGTGGAAGAAACTTGAATAAGTTATATCTGTATCATCTGTTTAATACCTTCATTCTTTTGTAACATGACTTAACATATTACCTAAAAGTTAGAAGCACAGACAGCGCCCTGCTGTGTTGTTTCTGAAATGCCTCATGAATCAGTAACTAGTTAGTCATCTCCATTCAGTTGAAGGCTTATGGTATATTTTTTAAGGATCACAGACATGTATTTGAGTATAAAACCTCCGAAAAATTCAGCATGTCTCTGTATTATTGGATCAAGCCATCACTCATTGGTAAGCCTGCAATTAATATAACCATTTTATTATTGTTATTATTATTATATTTTAATTTCCATTTCCTGCTTTACATCTGAATATAAAGATGCCTCGGTTTTCAAATGAAAACCAAAAAGATTTGGAATGTTGTTCTGAAGGGTATGATTATGAACTCATTTAGTTCCCACAAGGAGTATCCTTTTCTTTTGATAGTTTCTTAGAATTGGTATGTTTTGCAGGTAAATTGGGATTATCATGGATCAGCGTTCAAGGTATTCTTCTATATTTTATTTTGTATAAGATAAGGACATAATTGTTCTACGTTCAAACGTACCACCCTCTATAATTAGGTGATGACAGACAAAAGACCATATAATTATTTTAAGTCAATTAATTAAGATTTACTAAGAATTAAGGTAAACATTAGTTAATAACAACTGAACTGCAAAACCTCCAAAATATCAGAATCTCTTTATTATTGGATCAAACCATCATTGGCAGTTAAGTTTTCTATTAATATATCCATTTCTTTTATTGCCATTCTCTATTTCTTGCCTGACTAGACAGGATTCCTTTGTTTTCACATGGAGAAAAATTATAATTGGATTGTTGAGATGAAGGATATGAACTTAATATGTTCCCACTATCAGTATCTTATCCTGCAATGGCTTCTCAGAATTGATATCTTCTGCAGGAAAACAGGGATTTGTCATGGATAGAAACCATTTTAGCTGCGGTTGGAATATCTTAATCCAGTTATGGCCTCCAAATCCTGGTATATTAGAAGAGGTACTTTTCACCCCAGCAAAATTTCCTGCATTGGTCCAAAACAAAAACAATAAACAACTTTAGCAGCAAATTTTTCTTTTTTTTGATCAACAACTTTAGCAGCCATTATCTAAAAGTCCTCTTCCTTTTGTTTGTTCTGCTTTGTTTAAGTCAAGTTGTGTTTATATTTTTGAGTATCTAAATAAATATCTCCGTCATGTATGGGATTTTCAAACTTCTTAATGATACCCCAACGGCTATAGTTGTAAACTATAGTTCTTAGCGACATCTCAACAACCATGGTGTAAAATTGTTGTTATTAAAATTTGAAGCATTTTGTATTGGCTGTGAAGGTCAAAGCCCGACTAAGAATTTTGATTCAACGCTCTCCTGAGTATTTTGCATCACCTATTATTGAGGAAGACCAAAATTATAGCACAAGTTGAATGTATTAAAAACAAGTATCTCAGTGTTATGGATTAAAAAAAAAAAAAAAAACCAAGTAACTCAGTGTTATATAATTGTGTGCTGCTAACAACATTTCAATTGGAACTCAGAAGTGCCAGCCATGGAGTTTCATCAATCTGTGGACAAAGAGGCACATTCCAGTGGCAAACGGGGTGGTTGGATCACTTTCCCCTTTGTTGCAGGTCTCTTTACTTACCGTATTTAGATAACTGGTTGACGGCAGCAGCCTCAGCATTACAACTTTATCGTACTAACAAATGTATTCATTTTTTGTTGTAATCCAGCAACCTTGACTGGATTGATGTTGGGTGGCTGGGGATGGCTAACCAACTTGATTGTGTATCTTATTGAGGAGTTCAATGTGAAGAGCATTGCTGCTACTCAGATAGCAAATATTGTCAATGGTGGCATCAATCTGCTTCCGATCATTTCAGCAATTCTTGCTGATTCCTTTTTTGGCTCCTTCTCTGTTGTTGCAATTGCTTGCGTTTTCTCTTTGCTGGTAAACAGTCCTCTTACCTATTATCATGGGCAGTTTGTCCTTGCAAATGGATTAATTTCATCCTGTAATTCAAAGTGGATCATCATTTCCTGTGCAGGGTGTGGTTCTCCTGACCTTAACTGCATCAATTAAGTCCTTGAGGCCTCCTCCATGTGCGGCTGGATCAAGCTTCTGCCAAGCTCCCTCGAAAGGTCAATTCGCAGTGCTATATGCAGCTATATCTCTGGCTTCTATAGGCCTTGGGGCAATGAGATTTACTCTGGCAACAATGGGAGCAAATCAATTTGATAAGCCTAAACATCGAGGTTTTTTTTTCAACTGGTTCTTCTTCATGTTTTATGCATCTTGTATGATAAGCTCCATAGCCATTGTCTATGTTGAGGACAGCGTTAGCTGGGGAATTGGCTTTGGCCTATGTGCTGCAACTAGTTTTGTTGGTTTAGCCATTTTCCTGCTAGGAACCCGATTCTATATACATGACAAGCCTCAGGGGAGCCCGTTTACTGGTTTAGCTCGAGTTTTCGTTGCTGCTATACGGAAGAGTAGAATACCATTGTCATTCAATGGTGAGGATTATTACCATGAAAAAGGTGGAGCAAACGAAATCGTGGTAGCTACACCTTCTCCGAGCATAAGGTATGAACTTATTCTGAATTAGCATCACTGATTTTGCCCGAAAACCGACAGTGAAAATTCTTCCTTTTTTTTTCCCTCTGCAGGTTCTTTAACCGAGCAGCGCTCAAAACTGAAGGAGAAATTCAATCAGATGGTTCAATAGCTAAGCCATGGAGACTATGTTCGGTTCAAGAAGTTGAAAACTTTAAAGCTGTTGTTAGAATTTTCCCACTATGGTCAACCACAATTTTTGTATCTGTTCCAATAGCAATTCAGGCCAACATGATAGTTCTCCAAGCTCTAGCCATGAATCGTCACCTTGGTTCTAGTTTCAAAATCCCAACAGGGACAGTAATAGTTGTGGTGTTAATCTCCACAAGCATTTGCCTAGCCATCTTTGATCGTTTCCTTCTACCAACCTGGCGGAAGTTAACTAATCGGTCTCTGACACCCCTCCAACGAATTGGAACAGGCCACGTTTTCAATGTGCTAAGCATGACCATATCAGCCTTGGTGGAGTCCAGAAGGCTAAAAATAGCCCATGAGAAACACCTCCAAGTGCAGCCCGGTGCTATAGTCCCTATGTCAGTCCTGTGGCTGTTTCCACAACTTGTTATAGTTGGTATTGGAGAAGCATTCCATTTTCCTGGACAGGTTGATCTGTACTATCGAGAATTTCCAGTAGCGCTCCGAAGCACAGCAACTGCCATGATATCTGTAGTAATTGGAACAGCATACTATGTGAGCACTGCTTTGGTGGACCTGACCCGGAATGTTACACGCTGGTTACCAGATAATATCAATGAGGGGAGGCTGGATAATCTATATTGGACCCTAGTCGTGTTGGGGTCTCTAAACTTTATCTATTATTTGGTCTGCTCCAGTTTGTACAGGTATAGAAATGTTCAAAAGAAAGTGGATCATTCAGTAACTGATGCCACTGGAGAAAAAGAAACAGATCAAGAAGCTTGAATGTTTAGAAGAGAAAGAAAAAAGAAGAAAGGAACTCAGAAGAAGAATTTTATATCTGCATCATATTATTTACAAGCTAAAAGCAGAACTGACCTTCAGCCAGTGATGTTTCTGAATTGTATCATGAATCAAGGCATACTCTAAAAGTAATCTATGTTGTATTCAGTTGCAGGCTTATGGCAATTGTATGATTTGTAATGATTATATTCCCATATCCTGACAATGACAGAAATTTTACTAATAAAAAATCTCTCAGAATTTCTGTTTGTTGCTTTATTATTGTATCATCAAGCCGTCATTGCCTGGTAAGTCCTTTCATGTAATACAACCAATGCGGGGCATGTTAAGTGGAAAAATACCACTTCGGAAAAATAGTAATAAAACATATGAGTTAACTACAAGGAAAACTACTCCAGTAATTGCCAATTGGTTTTGTATTGGATGCAAACCTTGTGTTGTTTTAGTTTATATGGAAGCAAAAAAAATCTTGACACAACAACTAGTAGTAATTTTCTGTTGAAGCTGTGATAACAAGTTTGCACATATTTTACTGGTATTTTTGAAGAAATGAAATTTCAAGAAATAGACTTCGTGAAACTGATTTACTTCAGTTTATTCCAACTTTTTTGTTGCATTTTAATTCTAGTTTGTCTTTAAGCTTAGTTGCTTTTGGTCAATGCTTTTAGACAAGGACCACAAGGTAGCAAAAGTTTAGAAAAAGCTGTTTTGTTCACATGGTTGCTACCTTTTGTTTTCGTCTGTTATACCAGACTCATACATGTTTCAAGTTTCAATGAAATAGTTCAGTTGTTCTGCTCTCCATTTTCGTTGTTTTTCTTTAGAGGAAAACCATTTTACATTTTCTATTCAGAATAACCAAACAGTACACAGCACTTGCTACATGAACCTGAAATGATAGCCACTGAAAGATGTTCTTATTGATCGCACTATTAAAGCAAGTAGTAAGCATGGAATTCTAACAATCTGGGCCCAAAGCAGCAGGCACAGTTGATTGTGGCATTAAATGCGGTGTGAGTCTCTCTCTTCTCTCAGGCCAATTTTGTATCTGTCACACTGATTAATTTATCTTTCTTTATAGTAGGGATTTAAACTTGGGACCGGACCTCAGCCTATTCTTGATCTTGATCTCATTGATACTGGTTGATTTATGTTCTGTTGTAATAAACAGCATATTTTGTGTTGCTTTCTTTATTATAACTTCGATGACATTTCAACTATAATTATAACCAAGCAATTAAATCCCTTCCCCATTCTACTTCTGGCCTATGTTATGGTGTATTCCTTAGATTTCCTTTTATGGTTGCCTAAAAGAAACTTTATGTTGCATTCTTTATTATTTATTATTACTTTGATGACGTTCCAACTGCCATGGACAAGTAACTTTGAACAAGATGATTCCAGTACAACAGAACTTCCAGCCAGCAGCAGCCATGGAGTCCCAACAGCCTGGAGATAAAGAAGCAGCTATGGAGGTCCAACAGTCCAGCTGCAGACGTGGCGGTTGGGTCACCTTCCCCTTCATTGCAGGTATCCGCCTATTGCTTTCTCTCAAACAAATAAACATATGTTGCATTGTTCTTGAACTCGACCTCATTAGCTGACACTTATCAATTTATCTTGTGTTGTGATAACCAGCAACTCTGTCAGGGTTGATACTGTGCGGTTGGGGATGGGTGGCAAACCTGATTGTGTATCTAATCCAGGAGTTCAACGTGAAGAGCATTGATGCTACTCAAATAAATAATGTAATCAACGGTTCAACAAATCTGCTACCCATAGTTGCAGCAATTCTTATAGACTCTTTCTTCGGCTCTTTTTATGTCATTGCCGTGTCTTCCTGTTCCTCTGTACTGGTAATGACGTTCTCAACATGGGGCAGTTTTTCCTAGCAAGCGCTTCAAATTTTGTGTTTGATCATCATTTTTCTGAGCAGGGAACAGTTCTATTGACCTTAACGGCATCTATTACCTCCCTGAGGCCTCCTCCATGTAAGCAGGGATCAAGTGTCTGCCATGCTCCGACCAGAGTTCAAATCGGATTGCTGTATGTTGGTATTGCTTTGGCTGCTATTGGTATTGGAGGAACACGATTTGCTCTAGCATCAATGGGAGCAAACCAATTTGATAGGCCTAAAGATGTAGGGGTTTTCTTTAACTGGTACTTCTTCATCCTATACACAACTTTTGTGATAAGTTCCACAGTTATAGTCTATATTCAGGATAGCATCAGCTGGGGACTGGGGTTTGGCCTGTGCGTCGCTGCAAGCACTATTGGTTTGGCCATTTTCTTGCTGGGAAAACGATTCTATCGACATGAAAAGCCTCAGGGAAGCCCTTATACAACTTTAGCTCGCGTTCTTGTTGCTGCTATACGGAAGAAGAATCTCCCCCTCTCACCTGAAAGTGTTGATTACTACCATGGAAATGATGGAATAAACCAAAATATGGTTTCAACACCAACTCAGAGCTTCAGGTATGAACTTAATCCTAAGGTCTCACCTAATAGTTTAAGCCTTTGGGTTGAGGGGTTCTTGCACTGATTCTACCATTAAATAAGTTAAAGCTCAGAAGGTGAAGATTTTTTTTTTTTTTTTTTCTGTCTAGGTTCCTGAACCATGCAGCGCTGAAATCTGAAGGAGACATTCAAACAAACGGCTCGATTGCAAATCCATGGAGGCTATGTACTGTTCAACAGGTGGAAGACCTGAAAGCTCTAGTTAGAATCTTCCCACTATGGTCAAGCTCAATCTTTTTATCCATCCCAATAGCAATTCAGGGTAGCATGACAGTTCTACAAGCTCTAACCATGGACCGCCACCTGGGTTCCCACTTCAAAATCCCAGTAGGTTCATTCGTAGTTGTGGTATTGATTTCCACCTCTATCTTCATCTCCATATTGGACCGGTTCTTGATTCCTGCGTGGCAGAAGCTGACTGGCCAATCTCCAACGCACCTCCAACTAATTGGAGTAGGCCATGTGTTAAACGTCCTGAGCATGGTCACATCAGCATTGGTGGAATCAAGAAGGCTGAAAATAGCCCGTGGCATCCACCTTGAACCGGGTTCAGTAGTTCCCATGCTATCTCTTTGGCTGTTTCCCCAGCTTGTTCTAGTAGGCATTGGAGAAGCATTCCATTTCCCAGGACAAGTTGCTCTATACTATCAAGAATTTCCATTATTGCTCCGAAGCACATCAACTGCCTCGGTCTCTTTAATCATCGGGATAGCCTTCTATACGAGCACTGCTTTGGTGGATCTAATAAGGCACGTCACAGAGTGGTTGCCTAATAATATAAATGATGGGAGGTTAGATAATGTGTATTGGACCTTAGTTGTGGTGGGGTCGCTGAATTTTGGCTATTTCATCGTCTGCTCCAGGTTGTACAGACATAGAAATATTGAAGAGAAAGTGGTTGATTCTGTAGGCAGTGGAAATGAAGAAAGCAGAACAGAACAAGGTGCTTGAATCTTGAAAAGAAGAGAGAAGAGTAACTAGAGGAATAAACAAACAGCCTGTATCAGTATGCTATCCAATAATTTTTTTTTTTTGAACATGCGTATGCTATCCAATAATTAATCCTTGTTTGACATGCATATTACATTATTACTTACAAGTTACAGTTCAAGCTGAAGTTGGGTTTTGTGGTTTCATGCTCCAACAGTCTGGAGCGTTTTTTTTTTTTTTTTAATACCTTTTTCTAAGATTAAAGATCTTCATGTTTGTCATATGAAATTGGCGTGACAGGTCAGACCATACGAAAAGAAAGAGCAAGGCAATCACAGGCAGGCAGTAAACCATGTAGTCTAGAGATTTGTTTCGCTTTCACGCATTCATTTGTGTGTTACCAATGCAATGGGAAGCTCTTTGGACAAATTTTTCATATACAGACACCGTACATTCAAGGGCTCCAATGGCATCAATCACAGATTAATTTATTCCATTTTCACTTCAACTTATTGTTGTTAACATAAACTTGATAGATATTATATTTTTTATTAAATATGTGCTTTAGCAACATATTTAAAATAATAATAAAAATGAAATTAATGCACCTTAAAGCCTATTTAGTTTGATGAAAGGAGAGAACTGCAAAGAAAATGAAAGATTATTCCGTCCAATAAAATGAAAGGATATTTTCTGCCCCTGAATTTGCTCCATCGGAAATATATGATAAGCCACTTTCTTTATTCTTCTTACTTTTTATTCTTCTTTGATTTCTATTGTTTTTTTGTGGTCGAAGTGGAATTAAAAAAAATTAAAAAAAAAAGAATTTATTAAAAATTCTCGAAGGATTCGATTTGTTAGAATCCAACATGGATTTTTAGTAAAAAAACAAAAGAAAATAGAATTCTCGCAATAACTAAAAAGATACAAAATCCTATAACCCCTCTATCTATATTTTTCCCTATTTTTTTATCTATACATATGCAAGAGAGGAAGATGAAATTCGTTTTCTTTGTCTCACCTAATTCTAATTTGATTCCCCAGAAGGAAAAAGCAAAATTCACTTTTCATCTTCTTGATAAGACAAAAACCCATGCAGTTGAAATAACTCACCCAGAACGACTTTTAAAAGTGTACGTGGTACGATTAGATCAAATAAACCCTTAGGGGATAAATATTCAGTCTCCTGTGAACCTTCGGGTACTGGTTTCTTCAATGTTTCTTCAATTACTCTTTTACCCGCAAATGCAATATAGGCATTGGGCTCGGCAATAATGATATCCCCCAACATACCAAAACTAGCAGTTACTCCACCAGTAGTAGGAGATGTAAGAATTGATATATAGAATAACTTTTTATTTGATTGATAATCATATAAAGCGGAAGATATTTTAGCCATTTGCATCAAGCTCAAACTTCCTTCTTGCATGCGGGCTCCGCCAGAAGCACACACTATAATAAGTGGTAAAGATTTATTGGTAGCATATTCGATCAAACGGGTGATTTTCTCCCCTACCACGGATCCCATACTACTCCCGATAAATTCAAAATCCATGACCCCAATTGCTATAAGAATATCGTTTAGTTGACCTGTACCTGTTTGAACAGCCTCAGTTAATCCTGTGTTTCTTTGATAAGAATCAATACGATCTTTATAAGATTCCTTTTCAGAAGCCTCAGTTAATCCTGTGTTTCTTTGATAAGAATCAATACAATCTTTATAAGATTCCTCTTCAGAATCCGATTCCTCTTCAAAATCAATAGAAAGTGGACCAAAAATATAAAAAAGCAACTGCACATATGATAAAAATCTAGTAAATGTACCAAAAAAAAAAATCTAATAAAGAAATAACAAATATCATGGGATGGAGGGCATTTTGTGAATTTTATTTTACTTTAATTTCCCCAAAATAAAATATATACTATCATTTTTCTTGTAAGAAAAAAATGAGACAGTTAAGTAAAAGTGTGTTATTATTGCACCTTAAAAATGAAACTCTAATGGCTGTTTGGTTACTCTAGATTTTTGAAAAGGAATTTTGGTAGTCAACTAAATGAATAGTTTAGATTAGCTTAGGAAAAATAAATTTTTAGCATGAAAATCGAAATATAATATAATGAATTATAATAATTATATAAGTGATTATATAAGATTTTTTTAAAAAAACCTTTTTATCTAAAAAGTGAAAAAAAAGTGAAATAATTGATTACAAAGGAAAAATAATTCATTACATTTGTATAATCATTTTCTTTTTTTTTTATAATTAATTATATTACAAATATAATTTATTATTGTTCCATTATAGTTAATTATATTGTGTTTTAATTTATGTATTAAAAAACTTATTTTAATTTTAATTTTAAATGAATATTCCTCAAATTTAAAAAAATCTAACTAGAATAAGAGTGAAATCTATATCAAAATAATAAGCACAGCACAGTTATGGACTTGCTGAAATCGCATAAGGGGTCGATACCCTCGTCAACGTGCCGACACCTTCGATAAAGCGCTGATTGTGAACTCCGTGTCGGGTTTTTGGCCTTTGAAGAATTTTGGTTGATGGTAAAATAACAGTCTTGGTCCGTAACTTCTAGATTTCATACAAGTTAATCCTCATATTTCTGATCTTTTAATTTACTCTTAAAAATTATGATTTCTTTCAATTAAATCCTTTCCTACAAAAATAATAAAAATTATATAAAATCAAGTAAAATATCATAAAACTCGTTCAAATATCAATAATATCAAGGTAGAAATTCTACATTTATATGTATATAAATTTAACTCATCACTTATTGTTGTTAATATAAACTTGATAAAAATCATATTTTTTATTAAATTTAAGCTTTAGCAACATATATTTAAAATATTAATAAAAATGAAATTAATGCACTTTAAAGCTTATTTAGTTTGATGGAAGGAGAGAAGTGCAAAGAAAATGAAAGATTATTCTGTCTAAAAAAATGAAATTAAAAGGATCTTTTCTTATGTTGAGAGGTTGGTCTAACATTGACTAAAGACCCAATAAAAGTCTAAAGACAAACGAGCAATAGAAATATGCTTACGTGATCAATGATACGTGAATTAATTGGACAATGACATGTAGCGTTGGTATCATAAATGAGGGTTGTAAATACCCTATCTATCTCCATATAAGATAATAATTCCATAATGCTTTTTTCTCTGTAATATTTAGTTTTTGAAAGCTTTTTTTTCTAAAGTAACTAAATATTATTAACTTGAATATGAGAGTGCCTTCTCCGAAAATACTTCTTTAAGATTTTCAAGTATTGAAACAAGACCTCGATGGCATTAGAATTTCTAAAATTGCCCAAAACATCTCCCCTCTCTTTCATAAAAACAACTTCACATATGATAAAAATCTAATAAAGAAATGACAAATATTATGGGATAGAGGGCATTTTGTGAATTTTATTTTTCTTTAATTTCCCAAAAAAATTATAATATCATTTTTCTTGTAAGAAAAAAAAAAGGGGACAGTTAAGTAAAAGTGAGTTATTGTTGCACTTTAAAAATAGCACTCTAAGGGCTTGTTTGGTTACTCTAGATTTCAAAAAAAGAATTCGAGGTAGCCGACTAAATGAATAGTTTAGCTTGGCTTAGGGAAAAAAATTTCTTAGCACCAAAATCGAAGTGCAATATAATTGACTATAATTTCTACCAAAAAAATTATAACTGACTATAATGAATTATGTAAGTGATTATATTAGACTTTCTTTAAAAACCTTTTTTTCAAGGCTTTTTGCTTGAAAATGAAGGAAAAGTGAAATAATTGATTATAAAAAATTAATCTCTTATATTTGTATAATTATTTCCTTCTATTTTATGATTAATTATTTACTAATATAATTAATTACTTTTCCATTGTAATTAATTATATTATGTCTCAATTTGTATGTTAAGATATTTATTTTTCTTAACTAAACTTAGCATTTTTTAGTGGGCTTCCTTTTTTTTTTTTTTTTGGGGGGGAAAGCCGAACCAAGCAGGCCCAAATATGTTGCACTTCTACTGCCTTAGGAAGTGTTGTTTTGCCATTTTTTTAAGGTAGTGTTTCTAAAATCGAAAATCTTTAAAAAAAAAAGAAGAGGTGAAAATAAAATAAAATAAAATAAAAACAAACGAATTATTTTAGTTCCCAATCGGGTTAAACCGGATCCGATTACAGAATCGGACCCGATTTCAATATAACGGGATTCTCACCGTCGGGGACCTGCCGAACACCTGCTTAACAATGGGGATGTCATTGTAAATTGAAAATTTTAAACACTCAAACGAATTAGGGGTTCACAATTTCTCAAAAATTTTTCACTCCAATCAAACGATTAAACCTCACAGTCCAACTCCATCACTGCTTCGCTCGTCAAAATTCCTCTTATTTACTCCCATTCTCTGACGAAGAATTGAAATTTTTGTGCTTCCCAGCCCGGACGTTACCTTCTTTCTCAGTATTCCTTCTTCCCAAGGTTCCAGAGGACCTACATACACGTGTTTGATCAGAAGTTATTATCTTTCTGCTATTTATGTTTATGGGTTTTAGTGTTTTGGTGATTCTGAATGATGGGTTTTCTTTAGTTTGGGATTATGTGAACAATCCATGCAGTTATCAGTTTCAGCTCTTTAATTTGAATTTCACACCTTTTTCTGTTTTTGATTATGAGTTTACTGAAGTACACGCTTTAGTACTTTATTGTTTATTCTTTTGTTAAATTCCTTTTTCTTGACTTTCTATGCGGTAGAACATGTGGGGCACGTGTATTTTTTAAGCCGTCCATTTTATTTTATTATTTTTTTTGTTGGAGTATAATTCAAAGCCGAATATGAGAGTGAAGTTCATGCCTTTTAAGAGGTTTAGTTCTAGTTCCGGTAGAATTTTTTTAGCGTTCATGTTTGAGTCTTTAGAGGTCCATGTAGTCTGTCAGAATTAGAATACCATATCTGGATTGATCAGGATCTAATGTATTGAGTTAGGACATGCATTAGAGATTTCTCTATTAACTGCATGTTTACTAATCGAACTGCAATATCTTTTACATTAGTTGCAGTTTTTTTATTGCTATATCGGTTGTGTTAAACTTTTTCTGGGTTTTTCTTCAATGATGTGGTAGGGAATTGTTTCTTCTGTTCTTGTTGAAACAAAGTGCAGAACATATTGAACTTTTTCTTCTATAAGGATTACAACATGCAGAGCACTATAACGTAATTAGCTTGTGGTGTAAAAGAAACTTAAATAAGGGAGAATCAGGGCTGGGTTGGTATGGACATTCATGCAATTGATGAAGAAGGGGGGATGGGCCATCATGGGATGTGTGATGATGGAGATAGTGAAGCCAATGAAGATGAAGCCAAAAATTCAGAGAATGCTTTGGTTCAGGATGAAGATGGGATTGCTGAGCCATATGTGGGTACGGAGTTTGACTCTGAAGATGCTGCTAAGACTTTCTATGATGCGTATGCTACAGTTGTGGGATTTAGCTCCAAAGTTGGTCATCTTAGCCACCCAAAACCTACTGGGACAATAATTTCGCCAGAGTTTGTATGTGGCAGAGAAGGTTCAAAAAGGAAGCCTTGCGATAGTTGTGATGCAATGCTTGGGATAGAGTTAAAGGGTCAAAATAAATGGGTTGTCACAAAGTTTATAAAGAAGCACAACCATTCTTTAATGAGTCCTAGTAAGGTGCATGACCTTTGGCCTCACAGGCATTTTGCTGGTGCTGCAAAGTCCATGGCTGAAAGTTACCAAGGAGTGGGAATTGTGCCTAGTGATGTCATGTATGTATCCATGGATGGAAATCGTGCCACTGCTGAGACAAATAACCTTGGCATTAGAAATACTCCTCCAGCTGAATTAAACCAGCTGGCAAAGAACATTGGTACCGTGAATTATGCGATAAGGCCAGTTAATAGAAAGAGAACACTAGGGACAGATGCCCAGAATCTTCTTGATTATTTCAAGAAAATGCAGGCTGAGAACCCTGGTTTCTTTTATGCAATACAACTTGATGATGATAATTGCATGGCTAATGTTTTTTGAGCTGATGCAAGGTCAAGAACAGCTTACATGCATTTTGGCGATGCAGTTATATTGGACACAAGTTACAGAGTAAATGAGTACAGGGTGCCCTTTGCTCCATTTACAGGGGTGAATCACCATGGTGAAACAATTTTGTTTGGTTGTGCATTGCTGATGGATGATTCTGAGGCTTCTTTTCTTTGGCTTTTCAAGACATTTCTTACTGCAATGAATGAATGCCAACCTGTCTCATTAGTCACTGATCAAGACAGAGTCGTAAAGAGAGCAGTCGTTCAAGTGTTTCCTGAAGCCCACCACTGTATCAATAAGTGGCATGTCCTAAGAGAAGGCCAGGAAAAGTTGGCTCATGTATGTCATGTGCATCCTAGTTTTCGGGTGGAACTTTATAATTGCATCAATTTGACTGAAACTATTGAGGAATTTGAATCAACATGGACTTCCATCCTTGATAAGTATGACCTCAAAGGACATGATTGGCTTCAGTCAATATATAACGCCCGTGCTCAATAGGTTCCAGTTTATTTTCGTGATTCCTTTTTTGCTGCTGTATATCCTGCTCAAGTCTTTGACAGTTCTTTCTTTGAAGGCTATGTCAATCAACAGACTACAGTACCTATGTTCTTTAGGCAGTATGAGAGGGCTATAGAGAATTGGTTTGAAAGGGAGATTGAAGCAGATTTTGACACAATTTGCACCACACCAGTCTTGCGGACACCCTCACCTATGGAGAAACAGGTTGCAAGTATTTATACAAAGAAAATATTTATGGAATTTCAGGAAGAGTTAGTTGAAACTTTTGTTTACACTGCAAATGGAATTGAAAGTGATTGAGCTATTAACACTTTCAGGGTCGCAAAGTTTGAAGATGACAACAAGGTGTATATTGTTACAGTAAACTATCCAGAAATGAGAGCAAACTGTAGCTGCCAAATGTTTGAGTATTCCGGCATTCTCTGTAGACATGTCTTGACAGTCTTCACAGTAGCAAATGTGCTTATACTACCATATCATTACATCTTGAAATGATGGACAAGAAATGCAAATGTGCTTTATCTTATCTGCATGAGCTGCCCAAAAAATGGCCCAATATGGAACAAGTAGAACAAGCCTTGTCTTCTTTGGCATAAGGCAGCAAATGTTTCATCCAACAAGGACTAATGGTTACTGTTTGATTGACCTTATCAAAATTAACACAAAACTTAAAATGTTTGATTGAATTAATACTTGTTAATTATTATTTCAAGTCTTTAAATTTTTATTGGGTTCAACTTGAGGTTCCAACCCCAGTGATGTGAGTTTCACAGTAGCTGTGATGATTAGCATGGGCCCACATTTGCAAGAAATAACTGTTCTAATACTAATTGAAACAATCTGGATCGAAACCCACCACTAACTTAATAACTCTTCTAGCCAAAGGCTTAAACTCAAGTGCTTAACAACTCTTCGAGCCAAGGGTTCAAACTCAAGTTGTTAATAATAGTTGATCTTTAATCTTATCTAACATACTCATTCACAATTCCCCACTTATGTGGAATTTGACTTAAACACTTAATGTCTAGGCCCACTGAGCCACATGTATAAGATTTGGGATGTTACAATTTCCATCACTTAAACGTTTGATATC